TTATCGATTGCGAATTTGATTACATGTGTCACGGTCCAACGACAATAATGCAATGTCATCTGAAGATGAGAGCTCCAGTGACAGAGAAGCAAGGGATATTGAGGAGGAGTTTCGCGCAACGTGCTCCAGAGCGTTGGCTAGTCTGTGTCATAAGCACCGCTATGATATGCTGCTTGACAAGGGACACTCCAAACGTAGCGCTAGTAGCATTAACGGGCGCCTTCTCAACCGACTATCGGGACAGTCGTGGACGAGCGTGCGGGATCACATCATGAACCTGCCAAACTATCGCTCTAGTAAGGGAGACGACGCAGGAAGAGTTGCAGAGGCTATTATCAGACAAACAAAATACATGCTCGTGAATGAGGCTTTTGAGTTTATGATTCACGTACTACATTTGTAGCTTGGCTGGCGCAACAGCGGGTGAGCAAAAGGCGCAAGAGGTCCAGCAACTGCGAGCAGTAGGGTGACTTTCCTGGCCCCTTTGGATACGCTTGACAGGCTATGGTCACAGGGCGAAACCCTAAGGGCTGCAAAACCTCGCGCTCTGGTCGCGCTATGAATGGATACGTGTTACTGGTTGCCGGAATTTCAAAAACTCAGCTTCTCTGGCTTAGTCACGCTTTGCGTGCAACCTAATGTAAAAGGATCCGCGCTTGGGATGCCATCTCTGGCCCCTCTCCAAGCTCCTTGGGTCTTCCAATGGGTTTGTCAGGGAGGATTGGCCGGGTGGGTGGGTGGGCCCACTTAGGTTTGGTTATGCATCCTTGTGCCTGGCGAAAGCCTGAGGAAAATTCAAAAACCTTTCGCCGAATTTAGCTTGGTTGGCAAACTCCATGCTTGAGTGATTTGATCGCATGCCTATTGCTTGACACTTGATGTTTCGGTGATTTATGGCACAAGATTCAATTTGGTTGTGTAGGGGACGGGAGACCGTTGGCGCAATGGTTTCAAAGTTTTGCCTTCCAGTTTATTAAGCCTTGTGTGTCTGGTGGTTCATGCATACTGCTTTCACATTTGCTGGGCGACTGGATTGGCTGGAGGATCAGTCGGTGTTACATCAGCAACAAGGAGAGTGGTGTGCTGTCCATATCTGCATTCTGGAAAGGCACATTGCAAGGTTGGACGATCGTATCGATTCACTCGAGGCGCGATTGAACGCTGCTGAAAGGTTTGGTGAGTCCTGGCTACATTCACTTGGAGTGAAACTGGCTCAGTTGCGTAAATTGCTTTGGTGCAAGAGCCGGAGACGTGAGTGCCTGCGTTAGCTTACAGTATGAGTGCTTGGGAAGATATCAGATCTGTTGATTTACGTTTTGTGACCGCTGCGCAAAAGCTTTACAGGACACCTTTGCATTTGCGTGGAGCCTTTGATGATTTGCAAGGGGCCTGTGATCTCGTTTCAGAATTACTGAGCGCACAGCTGAGTCCAGACGTTCTCAAAGGGATTGGACTCCAATTGTACACATGGAAGGAACGAATGGAGGAGCACGGTCCTGGGCCAGTCGATTTGCTGTGCAGGTCGATTGCTGAGCGACCTTCAAAGATTCAGCGGACATCGCCGTCGGTGGGCGAGGTGTTTGAGGAGCTGGTGGCCGGAAGTCCGAGCATCTCACTGGCGGCACTGAGTCGCGCTCTGAAATCTCGGAGGCGTACAGGACAGTCTGCTGAAGAGCTAGAGCGGGCGCTCAAAGAGAAATGGAGTTTGGTCCTTGTAAAATTCATTCAAGAGGCCGGTTTGCCTGTGTCAGAGCGAATGGAAGCAATCAATGCAGATAGCAAAGCCTGGATCAGACTCTTCGGTGGAAGGAGGGGTAAGTCCTTGCGTAACAGAGCTAGAGAATGGGCGACATTCAGCGAGTGGCTGCAGGCATCTCATGGTGAGACATGGCCTAGCAATGTGGGACGCATTTTGCGTTATCTTGAAGAAAGGCATGAGATCAAGCCCATAGGCAAGTCTGTCCCGAAGGCGCTTCTTGCTTCGGTTTCGCTGCTGGAAACGATTGGCCAAGTTGCCCCTGACGCGAGATTCAGTGGTGACCCTATCCTAGTGGAGACAGTCCGTTCCTGGACAGCTGATTTGGAGGCTGCGGCTCCGGGGGTCAGGCAGGCGCCGCTTTACACGATCGCGATCATGCTGTCAATGGAGCTGCTGCTCTGCGCAACTTCACAATCTTTGGGACTGCGGTTTGTGGCATTCTGTGGATTGCTGTTGACTTGGTCAACCTTGCGAGCCGACGATCTACAGCGTGTGGACTTGAAGTCGGTCAGGCTTCTTGAAGAATGGTGCGTGGGCAACTTCTAGAAATCTCCTTGTGCCAGATACGTTACGAACTTATTGGAGTGGCCATAGTGCTCGTCACACTTTGCCAAGCATTGCTGCAGCATTGGATGTTGGAAAGGATCGTCGAGATTTCCTCGGCCGTTGGTGCTATGCGCAGCATGGTTCACAGGACTATATCTTGACTTCTCGCCAGGTGGTGCGTGGCATTCAGAATCTGATTTCAAAGACTATCTTGGAAGGTAGTGCTGACGGAGGTTACATTGAAGAGGAGGTTCTCGCTGGAGTGAAGCAAGCTTGTGCTGATCTGGCGTTGGACCAATCGGTCATCCTTCGGAGGCATATGGTGTCCAAATGGGACGCCGCCGCAAAATGTTGGAAGCTCCATGGGAAGTATCCTCATCTCATGATCCCCCCGGAGCAATTGCAAGGGGCCTCTGGTGACATAGAGGCTCAGTTGCCTGGACCTTTCCATGCATGGAGTGCTGAGGAGAGTCTTGGCGAGGCTCCTTACTTTGTGACTGTGTCACGCAAAGGTCACAGGCGGCTCCATCTTGCTAAGGCATGTGCCGTACGGCAGGAGAGATGTCTAGAGACCATTGGCATTTTTACTTTGGAGGAAGCCGCTGCAGATTCCATTTGCAAGCTTTGCAAGCCCAAGTTGGCCAACGCTGCCAGCAGCTCAAGCAGTGGATCTGAGGATAGTAACATCGTTGATTTGCAGGCTGAGGCTCCAGCGGCTTCGGTGGCATCAGGCGGGGATTGAGTGACTGCTTGCAAAGAAAATTTCTGCTCTTGCATTTGCTTTTGCGGTCAACTGTTTTGATGGCAAGTCTTTTGCATCTGCCTTGTTCGAAGTTATCCGGTTGTCCATTGTGGTAAATGAATGTGCCTGGCACATTTGGCTCGGGTCGAATTGAGCCCTTGGTTGTTTGATGCAAGTCCTTTGGACTTGAGAGTGAAGCCCCGGTCGCAAGAGGGCAAGAGAGCTGTGCTCCAGGAGTTTTGAGTGGTCGCTAACCCTCGGTCGAAAGGGGGAAATTCTCAGGTTGCCATGAGTGCTTGATCTCCCGGCAGGTGTGACGCAGGACGCTGCTCTGGATTATTTTGAGAAAAATCTGACTACTGAGCTGCTCCACATCTTTAATGAATGTGGGGTTCCTGTCGGGTTGCAGTACAAGCTTGGTCAGCACTTCAAGAACGTGAAGAAGTTCTCTACTTATGCTGATAGCAGGTCGGATGTGAGAGCTGCACTTAAGGCAGATCATGCTCTTGAAGCCACCAACCAAGACACACGTGCAGCGGTGGCCTCAGTGGTTTCAGCTTGGGAGTCATGCCGTGAGTTCAGTGCAAAGGAGAGTGAACTCAAAGCGGAAGCCAGAGTATTGGGAGTCAGCCGGCCGATCACCCAAACGGAGCATCAAGCCATGCGGATCTCCTATGAGAAAACTTTTGGCAGTCTTGATGAAGTGGTTGAGCCGTCGGCTGATTATCTTTCGACTAAGATGGAAGAAGTCGAGAATGGTGAGATTGTGGGATCGCCGCTGTCGGGTGTCACCAGCAAACGCAAGGTGAAGACCCTCGGCGTACAAACCAGTGTCGACGCTGGAGGACACGTCAGGATTGTTAAGCAACGTAACAAAGGATCGTTGCCACAGAACACAGAAGATCTTCGTACTGCTTTGCGCGTGGAAGGAAACACTTGGGTGTTCTTGGGAAGCAAATACAAGAATAAGGTCTTCTTCAAAGATCTGACGCCGTCTGTCTGGTTTGATTACAGCAATTATTTGTTGGGTGACAAAGTGTATCTGATGCAGATCCCCTCGCCATCAGGGAAAGGCAAGTCGGAGCAAGTGGCTTTGCGTCTTCCATGGACTGTGATGATCAATTACGAGTTTGAGCTTCGAAAGGAGGCCGTGAAACGTGCCTTTCGAGACAGTCGGGCTCTCAAGGACACGCTGGCGGAGGTGCAGAATGATGCCCAGCTAAAAGAGCAGTTCTTTACGTCACCGATTGCGTTGCAGCATCGTGGCATGCCTGCCCCGAACACCTGGTATGAACGTCCCAGTGGACGGCCGTGGAAATGGCGTCGCAATGACAAGGGACCTGGCAAAGGCAAAGGGAAAGATTCCCACAAAGGGAAGGATTCCCACCGGCAGAACCAAGGGTCCTGTCCTTCAGCTGTGCTGCGTTGTGAGTGACCTGTCAAGTTCTTGCTTGGGTAAGTTTTTCTAATGTTTTTGGCTATATGCTCAAGTCGTTTTGGCTCAGAGGTAAACCGATCATTACAGCCTTGGAAGGATAGACATTGGTGATGCTTATCTCCAAGTGGAACAAGATGAACCGACAATTGTTGAAGTGGATGGCAGTTGGTATGAGTTAGGATATACACTGCCAGGCCAGCGCACAGGATCAA